GTTTTTTTTTTTTTTACCATCTTCGATCAGATGGATCTTCCTCTTGATGGCAGCTGTCATGGCGTCTGAGCAGAGAGCGTACAGATCAGCTCCGGTCACGACAGCGGGGCAGTGATCCACGATGTCCTGAAGGTTCACAGAAGGCTCCAACTGGAACCTAGAAGCACGGTGAAGGTATGTCAACTCAAACAGGAAATGCTCCTCTAGGGACCTGTCACACCTTGCTGATTTAGCAAGCGTACGCCCGACGTCCCAGAATCTACTCCAACGCTGGCATATGATGAAACTTCTATATATATTCTATAGCGTATTAATAAAAAGTCCATATCTTGTGTTCAATGACAGCCTAACTTATGCATAACACACGGCAACGTAATGCGCATTACGAAGCATCAGTTAAAGCTCCTCCCCTCAGACGCCCGTTCTGCATAAAAAGATTTTTTTGATCACGGTATTATCCTAGCTGCTGTTTACCGGCCACACCCCAAAAAAGAATGAATAAAAAGGTTTGCAGTGGCAGCAGATTCAGCTAGGAAGTGTGTTGGTGGTGGGCGTGAACGCAGTGAGGATCCATCACTCTCACCTTCTGGCTCACCCTATGATGGGGATGAATTCTGGAGGAGAACTGACGGTTTCCTCCTGTGACCCCCCTTTATGTGAAAATGCTGCCAATACGCCATTATACAGTAGCTGGAAGTTAGAAACACGTTCAGCGCTCGTCTGGAACACGTCAGATACGTTGATATGCGTTGGAGAGAAGTTCTGGATAAGTTAGGCAGAAGTTATGCACAAGGTACTCAGAGGTTTTGGATAAGCTGGAAGCCACGACTGATGAGGAACTGACACTGAACGGATGTCAACGATCAGATAACTGACCTGGAACTTATGGCCCACTTATGGCATACACTGGCATACGTTTTCTCTACGTATGTCGACGTGTGCCCGCGTGTTTCAGCGCTCTCATTGCTTATACTAAACTATAACTTATTCAATGTATGCCAGCGTTTTTACCCGATTTTTCCGTACGTCAGGCACACACTGGTCTAAATCGTCAAGGTGTGACAGGGGCTTGAAATACAATTTTAAAGCACATTTAACCCGATGTTCCAAATGAGCCCAACTTATTCCCCCCCCCATTTAACGAGCTGTTCTTACTTTCTGAGGATGGCTTTGAGAACCTTCAGCTTGGACACTCGGTCCTCATTGATCCCAACATAGACCAGTTTGTCAAACCTGCAGGTAGACGGAGAGAAAAGAAAGGTAACGTCAGATCACCCCACTGGTTTCACACATGCTTTTATATGCTGGTGAAGATTCTCAGTCATCCAGT